GCCACAGTCAGGGCGTCTCTAAAAGACAGCGATGAAGGGGTATCCTTTTCTAGTTGTATCAGTTGTCCATTTTGCATGAAAGAAAAGATGACCTAAGTTACAGATCTACTTTGATTCATGAGCAGTGGCTGGCAAGTTGGCTGGCTGGTCAGAGACTTGAAAACACCAGGATTGCCCAGCCAGTGTTGAGTGTCAACCCCTGCACCAGGAGATTCCCTGTTAGATTCCCGGTCAGGGCACATGCCTGGGTTTCTGGTTTGATCCCCAGCAGGGAGTGTGCAGGAGGCAGTCAATTGATGTTGATGCTTCTCTCTCTTCCTCTCCCTTCCCTTTTCTCTCAAAATCAATAAAAACATGTTTAAAAATGAAATACCAAGATTGATGAGGAGGAGGTCTAAGGGAAAGATATGGATGGACTGCTGGAAAGGGGCACAAGTGGTAAAACTCTTTTTAACCCACACAAGTGCCCTGAGGGGTCATTTTGAAGGAGGCTCTCAATAATCAGGTGGACAAATGTAAATGTCAACTTCTTTCACCAGGTACCCTGGTTCTTGCTCAATGGGCCTCCTACAGAGCAACCATGCTGGCAGGGATAGGGGCTGTTTATAGTGAGGTAGGCAGGATAATGACCCCCTAAAGACATCCATGTTGTAACCTTTGGGACCTGTAAATATGATCTATTTTAATGGCACAGGGTGAATTAAGGTAGCAGATAGAATTAAGGTTCTAATCAGCTGATCTTAAATTATCTGGGTGGGCCTGATGTAATCACAAGGGTCTTTAAATGTGGAAGTCAGAGGCAGGGCCAGTGTCAGAGTGGTGTATGTGATGTGAGAAAGACTTGACTGGCCATGACTGGTTTTGAAGATGGAAGGAGGGCAAAAGCCAAGGAATACAGGCAGCCTCTAGTCTAGAATCTGGAAAAGGCAAAGAAAACAGATTCTCCTCTAGAGACTCCAGAAAGGAACACAGCCTGGCCAACACCATTTTAGCCCTGTGAGATGCATTTCAGGCTTCTGATGTCCAGAGCTGTAAGATAGATTTGTGTTGGTTTAAGCCACTATGTTTGTGGTGATTTATTAGAGTAGCCATAGAAAACTGATATACAAGGGCTCGACACAGTTCCCTTACCAAATCTGATCTGGCAACTGGAACTGCTGAGTGTCCAAGCTGCTGGCAGCAAAGACCAAGCTGTTTCCAATATGGTACCACTCCCTGGGACAATGGTTCTCAAAGTGGGGACCACGAACCCTTGGGGATCCCTAAATTCTTTCATGGGTTCTGTGAGGCCAAGTCTACTTTCATACTTACACCAAGACATTCTTTATCATTTTCACTGTCATTCTGTCAAGTGGACAGTGGAATTTTCCAGAGGCTACACGAGATGTGTACAACAGACTGAATGCCAAAGCAGATTTGAGAATCTAGCTGTCTTCTATTAAGCTAGATTCTAGAGAGATTTGCAAAAATGTCACATAATGCCACTCTTCTCATAATTTTTGTTTTGAAGAAGTTGTTTTTCATTTAAAAGGTTATATTTATATTAATCTGAAATGGGTTTATTAGTTTTAAATAAATTAATATTTTAAAGCTTTCATTTCTTTTTTAAAATTGAATTTATTGGAGCAACACTGGTTAATAAATTATATAGGTTTCAGGTGTACAATTCTGTAATACATCATCTGTATATTGCATTGTGTTCACCATCCCAAATCAAGTTAAAGCTTTAACCTCTAATCCAGTAAAATACATATAACCCACATAGGAAACCCTTTGTAATTTTAAGAGTGTAAACGACTCGTGGGGCCAAAAATTTGAGAGCCACTGCTCTAGAGTGACCTGCTAGCTACCTATTGGCAGGCTGACCTCATTGCCCCCTTGTTTCATAAAAGAAATAGTTTTTGTTACCTCATGGTAATAAATATGTATTCCAGATATGGACTTCCCGCCGGCAATGCTTCTGCACCATCACTTCTGGACTTTCCAGAATACCCGATTCATCACGATGCTACCCGCACATGCCTATCTTCATGATAGGGTGAAGGGCATATGGCCTCCTCCCTGGAACACACTGGACTTACACTCAGTGTCCTGTCACTCAGAGCTGTTGACTGGACAGTCAGTACCAGCCGGGAGACACCACCTGCAAGGCTAGGTTATTGACGGCCAGGATGCAGTCAGTACATGCTTTAAATCTGGGGTGGGGAACCTTTCTTCTGCCAAGGGCCATGTGGATATTTATAACATCATTCGAGGGCCATACAAAATGATCAACTTAAAGATTAGCCACTATAGTTGGTCAAACATTTAATTAACTTACCCTTAATGCCCTGGTAGGGCCAGACCAAATAATTTCATGGGCCGGGCGTTCCCCACCCCTGCTTTAAACCAATGGCCAATATATGGCTCCACCTCTCTCACATCCAGAACACAGAGGCCCAGGGACCACAGGGTAGAGATGGGAGTGGCTCTTCCCACTATTTTTCCAAGTAACCTACCGGAGAAATTTTTGTTTTCCATCCCCTCAACTTGGTGTTCAGTGGGTCTGGAGTCCTTGGTGCCCAAAGGAGGAATGCTTACTTCCCTCAGGGAACACAGATATGGTTTCTTAAACTGGAAGTTCTTCCCACTGGTCTTTTGTTGTTAATTTTGTTAATCCTCACAAAAGGATATTTTTTCCATTGATTTTAGAGAGAGTGGAAGGGAAGGAGGGAGGTGGGGGAGAGAGAGAAACATTGATCTGAGAGACACATCAATTGGTTGCCTCCTACACACACCCTGACCAGGGTTGGGGATCGAACCCACAACCCAAGTATGTGCCTTTGAGAATCGAACCTGTGACTCTTTGGTGCTGACGTTCTAACCACTGAGAAACGCTGGCCAGGGCCCCACTGGTCATTTTGAGCTTTGTATGTTACTGAACCAAAAGGCAGAGAGGGGTATCAACTGTACCAGAAAGGCTGGGTAATCTGGACGACCAGAAGGAAAATGGGGGGTGGGCAGGAAGGCTATGTCTGCATCCAGGATTTACTGGTGCCTCTCAGATCTCCCAGTACAGTTATGACAGTTATCAGGAAGCTTCACAACCAGACAAACCTTAGATCAATAAGAGCCCGAATTGCCTAGGAATAAAGGTTTAGGACACCCCACCAGGTAAAGAACCCAATAAGTTAAAGTGCTGGCCACTGGTAAGAGGAACATGGAGGGGGTGGAAGGACAACGCATAATTGCTCACTTAGACCTGTGACCAGATACAGCAGGGGCGCTATAGCAGGCTTTTGTTATTTCCTCCTCCTGTCTTATTGAAGGAGCCCTAATGATGACTAAAGTTTTAAGTTTGGCTCAAAGTGAGAATGACTGAAGGATAAGGATATGGTCAATGTGACAACAGGTCCTGTTGGAAATAAACTTTCTTTCCCTTCCATTTAAAAAAAAACTGAGGTGAAACTCATCCTATATAATAAAAGGGTAATATGCAAATTGACTGAATGGCAAAACGACCAGTTGCTACGACACGCACCGACCACCAGGGGGCAGATGCTCAACACAGGAGCTGCTCCCTGGTGGTCAGTGCGCTCCCACGGGGGAGCACCATTGAGCCAGAAGCTGGGCTCACAGCTCACAGCTGACAAGCACAGTGGCAGTGGCGGCAGCACTAAGGATGTCCGACTGACAGCTTAGGCCCATGGGGAGCGAGACTAAGCCATCAGTTGGACATCCCCCGAGGGCTCCCAGACTGTGAGAGGGCACAGGCCAGGCTGAGGGACACCCCCCCACCCCCGCACTGTGCATGAATCTCGTGCACCAGGCCTCTAGTATAACATAAAGAGAACATTTTAAAGTGAATGCCACAATCAGTGGCATTTAGTACCTTCACAAAGTTGTGCAAGCATCACCATAATCGATTTCCAAAACTTTTTCATCACCCCAAATTGAAATTCTGTAGCCATCGGGACATGAGCTTTGCATCTAAAGGACAGAGCGGATGGTGGGGGCCACAAGAAATTGCTCTGCTCGGATACCCTGCTCCCCTCTCACCCATTCTCCCTTTGCTCCACTTACTGGAAGGCTGACCCATGTGGACTGAACTCAGTGAAACCACTCAGAGGCCTTTCCTTCTGGCTTCCAGCTGGGTCTGGCCAAGAGAAGGCCCCAGCAGGATCCAAGGCAGAATACTTGTCCGGTGGGCCCCTGCCTGGCAGGGGCTGCATACTGCTCCCCAGGGCTGCGGCTCCAGCAGGGCAGCCCCCTCCCATGGTCACAGCTCTCTCCTTCACCCTTCAGGTATAGAGGTGGTAATGGCTTCCCGTAGTGTGAGCTCCCTGGGTATCCCCCTGGTGGGTCCCCTGCCCCTGCCCACACCCCTATAAAGGATCCCTTAGTTGAAGGCTCTTCAATAACCTTTGAGCATACCATCCATTTCTTGGTGGGGCACCAACTGATAGAGAAATGGCATGGTCCCCCCCCTACAGTCCTTGGCACTGAATACTTCCGATTTTGTGGGTCAGATTAGCTCTGTACAGAGGCCCCAGGCTGGGCAAAGGGGACGCTTCCTGGGCAGCCCAGGTTCCAACACCCTGACCCAGCCACACTGGTCTTCTTGTTAGATCCTAGGGTGCTGGCTGTGCAGCTCCCAGTCAGAACATTGGGGAACACTCTAAAACAGCCTTCACCTGTTAACCTCAGCTCGTTCTTAGGATATCACTTGGGAGAGTCCTCCTCACCACCCCCACCTCTCATTCACAAACACATTGGGTTTCCCTGGTTTATATGAATGTTTGATGAATCTGCTCTCCCCGAGGCTGAAGGCACCTGGGGGCCGGAGCGCTCTGCTCTGCTCTCGGCTGTGTTCCTGAAGCCTGGCACGCAGTCACAACCACAGCAGCAGCTGACGGGGACTAAGTGTTTCTCTGTGCCAGCCACTGAGCTAAGCCTTTCAGGTCCCCAGGCCACCCTCCGCCCCAAAGTCCCCTGTTCCCAGGAAACAGCCCTCGACTCTATTAAAAACTCATATGGATTTATTAGAATATGAAAAAATTTTGGTTTCTTCTGTACAGGCGGCAGAGCAGCAGCAGCTGTGGTGGCTTTGAACATGGCTGTCACGTCACCCTTACATGGTGACTCCGGCCCAAAACAGCACTTGCATGGAGAGGGGACAGATGAGCACCCGCTGCCCAGTCCACTGGGAAGGGGGACTCTGACTATTGCACGATCCTGGGGGAGTGACCCGGGGAGGACAGACACCACTCCCCCTGGGCCTGGCCATGGTAGCAGTGGGGATGGGAGTGTGTGCCTGTGGGCAAAGGCCCCTGGGAGCCTAGGACTCTGTCCCCCACCAGCCCTAGCTGGGTGGGCGATGCTCAGGGGAGGTCTGCTCCCCTGAGGTGTGGGCTCCACAGCCAGCTGGGTGCGGGGAACCTAAGAGGGAGAGGTTCCTGGGGCTGATGGGAGGGATGAGAGACAGAACAGGCCAGCAGGACTGAGGGGCAGGCCCAAGAGCAAAGTACCAGACGGCCCAGCATCTGTGAGTGGGAGAGGACCATGATTGGATATGGGGGTTCACTTCTGAAATCAGGGTTTTGGGGCCACAGTTATGGGTCCAGGAGGTAGAGGACCGACTTGGGGAGTGTTGGGCAGACGGGCCCAAATGAGGGGGATTCTCTGGAGGAGGGCCATGCAGGTCAGGGGAGGCCCCCCAGCTCCCAGCAGCCCCTGCTCCGGTGGGAGAGTCTGTGGTGGGACAGGCATGGCCAGGGGCTTTGAAAATGTCTTACAAACAGGAATGGCCTCTGTGCAAACAGGTCATACATGGAAGTGGGACAAACAAAACAGATAAAAAGGCAGCACTGTCTGAGCCTGTGATGGCCTCTCTCCTGACACCAGCTGCCGAGCGCTCACTGGTCCCCGCGGAGCAATCTGGAAAGCTGTTACTCACGGTCCAAGGCGCCCCAGCTCCACACAGAGAAGCTCAGGGGTGCAGCTCTGAGAAGGGGCGTGTCAGGGTCGCTGGCCAGGATGACAAAGCTGGCAGGAGGGTGGGTCAGATATCTGCTCCCCCTCATTTTTCCTCCGTTAATGAAGGGCCTGGCCTAGGCCGAGAGAGGCCTGGGCTCCTCCCCTTCCCAGGTGGGACCCCGGCTGAGCCAGAGGCTCTTTGGTTAGAAACTAGGACTGGTTTGCATGAGGAGGGTGACGGAGGAGGAGGGGCACCGAGGTCCGGGAAACTCGAGGCCCTCCTCTGGGGATGGGAGGCCCTCCTCTGGGGATGGGAGAGCCGGACAGGAAGGGGCAGGTCTGCTCACAGCCCAGCAGTTCTGCCGAGTGGATGGGGAAGGCAGTTCTGGTGGTGGTGGCGGGGGGTGCTTCCCAGGAGGCAGGGGGAAGCCGTGCTGGGCCCAGCTGCCATGCAGGTCAGGAAGGAGGAGGGGAGGCCCCCCAGCTCCCAGCAGCCCCTGCTCTGGTGGGAGAGTCTTTGGTGGGACAGGCATGGCCCACTGGCCCCAGCGCTACTGCCCCTTGGGGATGAAAGGCTCTCCCTCCCCAGGCTCAGGATGGGGGCCTGGGTCGCTGAGGCAGCGCTGTATCCTCTGGGAGCTGGGGCTGTCACTGGGCCCAGAGGTGAAGACGTCGTCAGTGCCGGGGGAAGAGGGCTCCTTGGTCCGTATCATGATGCCCCCGTCATCATCCTCCTCAACGGCCACCCTGGGGTCCCGGTTCAGCCCGAGGACCTTGCCCTTCAGCTCCTCATTCACCAGGTCCACAGACTCGGGCGACTGTGGGGAGGCGGGGTCGATGGTGATGACTGGCAAGTCAGCCTTCGGCTCATAGGCCAGCGGGTCTGGGGACCAAGAACAAGGCACAGTTGGCTTCTGCCCCTGAGCCCTGCCCAGCATGTGCCCAACCTCTCCCGTGCCAGCCGCTCCCACAGAGCCCCTGCGAGGGCAGCAATCCTGGTGTTTCGGAATTACTCCTCATGGCCTTTATGAACCCTCATCAGATAGTCTATCATCCCCTGTCTGGGACCTCAAAGGCAGGACTGTGTCCCTCTCCTCACACCCGGGGCTCCCATGCATGTTCCCCGTCAGACCAAGAATTAGGGCTCCTTTCCGAGTCACTGACACCCCGGGGACCCAGGCCTAAGAGAAGGTCCGCCCTCGCTTCCTCCACCTGGTGGAGATCCCAATGGTGCAGACCCCCCTGCCCCCCTGCCAGGCACCCAGCTCCCCGCACAGACCTCACCGTCAGCCCATGGAGCACCTCTGTCCCTGGGGGAGGAGGAGGAGGGAGGGCCATCCCCCGCCTCCACTGGATGGAGGAGGAGCTCAAGACTTGGGAGGAGGTCAGTGAAGGAGAAGCCTGTCCTCCCCGCTGGCTCTTGGAGGCCCTGAGCGCCCAGTCACCAGGCCCCTCGCCAGGCACCCTGGGCCCGGCCTTACCTGAGCCGATGCGGGCCCGAGACATGGTGGGCGAGTCCAGTTTGTGGGCTGGCACCGTCAGGTAGTTGTTGATCTGATGGAAAGAGCAGACAGGTGTGAGCTCAGGCAGCCCCTCTAACGGCCCTGGAGGCTGCTGGCCACAGGCGTGCTTGGGCACCCGCTCCCTCCTGGCAATTCCTCATTAGGCTGTGCCATGTTGGCGCTTCAGGGGTTCCTGAGGGCTTGGCCCAGGCTCCCCTCAAGCTATGCAATCTCCTGGGTGGCCCTGAACCTCCTGCGCTGCCCTGCCTTTCCCATGGTGCCACTGTCCCGGTCTAGCTCCAGCCACACCTACCCGCGAGGTACAGATCCATAGAGTCAACTCAGGAGCGGACACCCGGGTCCTGGATGGCCCCCAGGCATCTCAATGCCACATGTTGGAGATGAACTCAATTTCTTACCTCCCCTCATAACCTCGTTCCTTTCTTGGCTTCTCCTGTCACAGCCACCACTCCCACCTACCCCAATCAGAAGGCTAGACATGACCCCTGACTCCTCTTCCTCTTCCTTCAGCCCACCTCAAACTGATGACCAAGTCTTACGAGTTCCCCCTCCTAAATGCCCCTTGACCCCGGCTGGTGTTGCTCAGTGGTTGAACCTTGACCTACGAACCAAGAGATCCCTGGTTTGATTCCCCATCAGGGCACATGCCCGGGCTGCAACTCGATCCCCAGTAGGGGGCATGCAGGAGGCAGCCGATCGATGTTTCTCATTGATGTTTCTGTCCCTCTTCCCCTCTCCCTTCCTCTCTCTCTAAAAGTCAATAAAAACATATTAAAAAATAAATGTCTCTTGAATCTACCTATTCCTTTCCATCTCCCCCTGCCACCACCCTAATCTGGGTTGCCTCCACCCCTCCCCATGTCACTCCCTTACACAGAACCCTTCATGGCTCTCCATGCTTGTAGAATAAAGCCCAAACCGTACTCCATTAACAATCTTCCTTGAAAGCTGAACCCTCTCTTTCCTTTTTAAAATATTACTTTTAAAATTTCTTTACATTTCAGAGAGGAAGGGAGGGGAGAGCTAGAAACATCAATGATGAGAGAAAACCACTGACTGGCTACCTCCTGCACACCCCCTACTAGGGATCGAGCCCGAAACCTGGGCATGTGCCCCTGACTGGAATCGAACCTGGGACCCTTCAGTCCACAGGCCAATACTCTATCCACTGAGCCAAACCAGCGAGGGCTGAACCCTGTTTCTAGAATGGGCCACATTCTGTGATTGGGAACTTATGCACATGTTCTTCCTCCTGCCTGGACCTTCCTTTGCCCACACTCCCCTCGTCGTGGCTCTGATTCCTAAGCTTACCCCACGCCCTCCCTCAAGGCCCCTTGCACTTCCTGTCCTACATGGGCCTCTGATGAGAAGTTTCGTAAGGGAGGGACTGGGCTGACTCACTCGGATTCACAGAGGCTTAGCACTTAGAGGCTGCTCAACAAATGTTTCCTGAATGAATGAATGAATGAATGAATGAGGTGTGCCTTGCTTTGTGATTTGGGGCACCTGTCTTTTCTCTGGGCCTTAGTTTTCTCACAAGAAAAAGAGGAGTCAAAGCACAGATGCCTGAGGATGTGATGAGGGGCCTGGACTCTTCACTGCTCCTAGCGGGGAGGAAGGCTTTCTGGAACCTGCCCTGGGCTCAGCGTTCAGCTTTCGAAACAGGTGGAGAAGGCAAAGAAACAACACCCCCAGATCAGAGTGTTCTATCTGCAAAAGGGCTCAGTGACGAGGATGCAGGAAGAGGAAGAGCCCAGAGGAAGGAAGGAGCCACCCCAGTCCGGACGCACCCTCTGTTCCAATTGCCGGGCCTTCTGTCTCCGGAGCAGCATCTGGTTCCAGGCCTCCTCGTAGGGGTCTGCCACCAGCGTGTGTCTGTTGTAAGACCGCAGCTGCGGAAGGAACAGCTGTCAGGCAGGGCCGGCCCCGGACATGTGTGGGGCAGGGCTGGAGCCGCCGGGGGCAGAGGGGCTCCTGTCCTGAAGGGGGGTGGGCAGGAGCAGCCCCTCACCCTCTGCCTGGTCTTCTGCAAGTTGTTCCTCAGGATTTTTCGAATCTCCTCCTCCTTGTCCTTGGAGAGTGCTGGCAGGATGCGCTCAGCAGGCAGGTTCTTGGGATGGATGTTCCTGGGACAACACGACACAGGTTAGGTCCCCAAGAAAATTCCTGTGACCCTGGAGCCTTCTGGGCTGGGCCAGAAGAAAGCCACTCAGGGGAAGGCCTGGGTGGGTGAGCAGAGCCCCAGGTCCTCAGTGTGACCCTGCAGCTCTCGCCAGCCCAGCCAGGATGACAGAGGGGCCTTGCTCACCGCCCCCAGCCCCAGTGTGGCCACCGCCCCCAGCCCCAGCATGGTCACCGCCCCCAGCCCCAGCGTGGCCTGCTCCAGGTTGGTGTAGAGGGGTTAGTGCGGGTGCAGAGCCTGCCAGGTTGGCCATGGCACTCACTGCATGGAGACGGTGGAGACAGCAGAGGGGATCTTGCCTATGCCACCACTTTCCACCAGCTCGATAGCCTGCTTCATCTCCATCTTGTGGTAGAAAGCGATGAGCTGGGGCTCCTTGGAGCGCTCGCCGGCTATCAGGCACTTCTTCACATACTTCTTGTTAAACCGGTTGAGCCTGGGGGGAGAAGGGAAAAGGTGGATGGAGCCAGCTCCTCGGGGTGGGGTGACACCCAGGCCCTGGGAGACCCTTACCTGCCCCTCCCCACCCACGTACCCACCAGGCCTGCCACCTACTTGTCCTTCCAGTGGTGGTGGCCGTAGTGGCCACAGATGTCCTCGATGCCTGTCAGAAGGTGGTCCAGGAACTGAAACGGGCCCAGGGCCAGGTCAAGCCTCACTACTGGGCTCTTTCCCTACCAAGACTTCTGAGGAGGCCCCCCCACCTTCAAAACCAGTGCTCCTCTGCTCAGGTTAGCTCTGTAGTTCCAGAAGCAGCCAGGAGGTGGTGCCCATACCGCACTCATCCTGAACCCCAGTGGCACCTCAAACCCTCTGCTGCTGAGGCATGGCTGACCTCCCTGCTCTGAGCCCACCTGGGCCTGAGGCTCCCTCCTCAGGCTCCCAGCCGCTCACACTACACCTCCCTCTGACCTGTGACCTCAAGAGGCTCAAGGACCACCTGGTCCTGGGATAAGGGCCAAGGCATGTACTCAAGGACTAGCTACTCCCCAAACTTTCTCCTGCAACCGAGGGCCCAGCTTCCCGTACCTGCGTATGGATCTCCTCGTTGATGGAGCGCTTCGTTTCTTGCTTTTTCTTCACAGCCAAAAGGTCTACCAGGGGCCGAATGGTCATACCCTAGGGGGCAGGTGGGTGTCAGGCCTCCATGCAGCCTCCAATCTCCCCGGGGTCCCCTGAGGCCGGCATGCCCTCTGCTCCAAGGCCCCCAAGATCTCAACCTCCATGTGATCATTTCTATAAAGGCAGGTCCCCAAGGCTGGCTCTTCCTGAAGACAGACAGAGGTCTGAGAGCCCACCCAGCCACATGGCTCACACTGGTCATCTAGCCCAGGCCAGGGGTCAAGGGCCTGGGTGAAGTGTGGGCTCCACCACAGGCGTGTTCTGCAACCCCTAGAAGGCTAATGGGGAGGACCACCTGGGCTCCGCCTCCATGGCACGACTGTGGCCGAGGGGCACAAGCAGTGGCAGCAGCAGCAGCTAAGTGAATGGCACACTGCCTGTGCCAGAGCTGGTGGTGTTTTACTAGGACTAGCTCCTTAACACCTACAGCAGCCGTAAGGGGGAGGTTCTTTCACTCTCCCCGTTTCACAGATGAGGAAACTGAAGTTCGGGGGTTAAGTAACTTTCTAAGGTCTCACAGAAGTAGTAGAGCTGGATTCAAACCACCTCAATGCTGCCTTCATTGAAAATAGACTTGATAAGCCATTAGCATATACAACTGCAAAGGCAAGGTGATAAAATATTTTTGAGATCTAAGCAGGGCAAGAGGACAAAAGAGGCAGCCCCGTCTCCTCTTAAATCAGGAAATAAGTGCCACCCCAAGGCTTCCTCTACATTTTCTCCCCCTGGGCAGGCAATGACGCTTGCCAGGATTCGTGTCCCAGAAAGACGGAGGGGATGGCAGGGTCTCGGAGCCACAGACAGTACTTTCTCACTTGCCCATGGTCACAGCTCAGGAAAGGTGGATTCACACCATCCCAGGCTGGGCTTGCTTGGGGACTAGAAGCAGGGTCGGGGAGGGCTCTCAGCTAAGCCTGGGTCATACAAATGACAGAAACCACTGCCCAGCAAGTGGGAAGGATTCTTCAGGATCATCTAGTCCAGGGGTCCTCAAACTACGGCTCGCGGGCCACATGCAAATACAAATATTGTATTTGTTCCCGTTTTGTTTTTTCACTTCAAAATAAGGTATGTGCAGTGTGCATAGGAATTTGTTCATAGTTTTTTTTAAAACTATAGTCCGGCCCTCCAATGGTCTGAGGGACAGTGAACTGGCCCCCTGTTTAAAAAGTTTGAGGACCCCTGCTCTAGTCCAATCCCCTCACTTCAACGATGGGGAACTGAGAGCCAGAATGGGAGGAGGGTCTTTCCCAGGGTCATGCAAGCAGCAGCAGAGCTTGGGCTGACTCCAGACCTCCTGCTGCCTGGCTCAGCAACCTTTCCAATTCCCTGTGTTCCCATCTTACAGATGCAGAAACTGAGACCCTAAGATATTAAGTCACTTCCCTAAAGCCCTATAATGAGCATCGTGGGCCTGCTAACTGTACCGACTTCTCTCCCACTGGGTTCCTAAGTTAGGCAGCATTCTCACTCCTTTATACTCTGATTGGTCACTTCACAATGACTCATCACAATTCCCCCTTAACAACTGAGGAAACTGAAGCCCAGAGAGGAGGAGTGGCTTGCCCAAGGTTGTGAAGCAAGTTACTGGTGGAGCTGGGACTAGAACCCGTGGCCCCCTCTTGGGTCACATGCTTCCTCTTTCCACTGGCAGAGTTGGGTCCCTGGGCAGGGCTGCTCCACCCTGTCCACACCTGCACAAACACGGTGAAGAAGATGACGGTGATGATGGCAGTGAGGAACAGGTCGCACATGGGGAAGTGCTTCTTGTCCAGCAGGTAGCCCAGGGAGAAGGCGATGGCCCCGCGCAGGCCCCCGTAGGCAATGATGAACTGGTCCTTGGGCGTCAGCTTCACGATGCGGAACTTGTTGATGAACCAGGTCAGGCCCAGCACACCTGCCGGGGGAGGAAGGAGAGGGGTCAGCGTCTCCAGCCCCTCCTGGCTTCCTGTCTGCAGGAAGCCTCCACTGGTAAGCCCCACCCAGTTCACTCATTTCCTGGGCCCTCAGCCCCGGGTGCTCTGACTCTCTCAATCCAAGAGCTGGGTGGATTCTTAAAGGGCCCCCCAACCTGGATGTACTATAGAGACATCAAAGAGGTCTCCAGTGGCCAAAGGTTGGGAGGAGGATGGGAAAGAGATGAAACAGGGTGAAACCTATTAAATAAATATGATGGGTATATGGGGTCTACTTTTCTCTGGTTTGAGATTTTCCATAATAAAAAATTACACAGTGCAGAGTCTGGGTCCAACCTCAACCCTCAGAATCTGCAGAGGACAAAGCAGTGGACTAGGGGTTTTTAACAGTGCACCATGGAACCCCGTGTGACGCCCGTCAGGCTCAGGACCACGGGCCTAACCGCGGAGCGGAGTCAGTGAGGTGCAGGGCGAGGAAGCAGCAGTCGCCGAGGGAGGTGCGTCTGGAGAGTGTGAGCACCCGAGGGCCCGAGGCCCGGCCCGTGTGCAGCCCCAGTGGCAGCGCAGGTTTGCAGGAGCTGAAGTCATCTGTGCCCTGGGACAGCATGGGGACACTCGCTGACCCCACGGTGTGTGCCTCAGTTCCTTCCTCAGATCCAACAGGCCCAGAACCGCGGGGTCCCTGAGGCCCCTCCACTCCGACACACCCTGACTGTCTCCCCAGAGATCAGACTTGCTCCCCGAGGGCCCAGCACAGCCTCAGCCCTGCGGAGAGGAGGACTGGGGAAGCCCTGCCGTCCGGCTGTGCTGGGAACAGCCAGGCACCAACCCTGACCCCTACACACGCACACTCATGCACGCACTAACACACACGCATGCACACACGCACTAACACACACACATATGCACGCACACACGCACATGCACTAACACACATATGCACGCACTAACACACATGCATGTACTAACACACGAGTGCGCATATGCGCGCATGTGCACACATACATATGCACACACTAACACACATGCACTAACACACATGCACACACAAACACACTAACACATACACGCGCGCACACTAACACACATGCACACGCTAACACACATGCACATGCTAACACGCATGCACACGCGCACGCACGCACACACACACACACACACACACACACACACACCCCTCCCCTGGCTCCAGCCCGGGGACCTCACCCAGCACGCGGGCGATGAGGCAGAAGAGCAGGGTGCTGATGACAAAGGTCCAGTTCCAGTGGTGGGAGCCGGCCACGGTGGAGACGCCGAGGAAGATGAAGATGAGGGTCTCACTGACACTGCTCCACATCTTCAGAAAATACTTGATGGTTGTGTGGGACTTGTGGGAGATGTTGGCCTCCACGTAGGGGCGCATCACCACTCCCGAGGCAATGAGTCTGGGGGTGGGGAAGAGCAGGGTTCAGGGTTCGGAGCTGAGCTGCACCCTCCCAGAGCCCCTCTGCTGCGGAGGCTGACAGTGGTCTGTTGACTGAGCTCCTCTTATGGGCTTTCCACACCTGCTCTCTCAATCCTCTTAACCCCGCATATTCTTGTACTTTATAAGATGAGGGAAACTAAGTCGCCTGCCCCCTGTCACACGGCGGGCGAGTGACAGAGCTAAGACACAAACTAAGGTCTGACCAACTCCAAAGCCTGTGCCTTGTCCTGATGCCACGGTGCCTCTCTGCCTGCCTAACAGGCATCACTGACACCTGTCCGTGGTTGGGGTTTACTCCCACACCTGGGCCCACGGGTGCAGCTTTCTCCCTCTCACCCTGAATCCCGCAGTCCAGCTCCACCTCTGCACTTCCAAAGTCCTCCCCTCCTGGGAACACCTCTGCCATCTCCCTGTCTCTGACTTCAAGGCCCAGCTGAGGCCTCAGGACCTCCAGGACTCCTCCCTTCAACTGCAGCCTTGAGCCTCCTGGCTGGGGCTGCTGAGGGCAACAGCTACAACCAAGGGGCTTCCTTTGAGACAAATAAGGGAAAAAGTAGCAAGGCTGGACTTCCCAGAACTTTAAAGTCAGTGCTCCCAGGGGTGGTCCCAGGGCCTGGAGCCTGGAGCTCCATCTCCTCCCTGGAGTTGGAGGCCGAGCCCTGGGGAGCTCCCTTGTGACCCTACGATCCCAGGGAATTCAAGTGGGGGGCCTCCCCATGCCACGCCCAGACTCACGCCATGATGCCCGACAGGTGGAAGAGCTCAGCTGACAGGTAGGCCATGTAGCTGTAGAGGAAGACGAAGAGCGGCTCGATGACACGAATGTGGGCCGTGAATCGGGAGGTGAAGGCCGCGATGACCCCGTAGACCACGCCCACAAAGACCCCGCCCAGGGACACCACGAAGAAACTCAGGAAGCCGAGGACGATGTCCACAATGCCCACGCGGTCATAGTTGGCAAACTCCTCAAAGAGGTGATACAGGACCTGCAGAAGGTAAGAGGCTGGTCGGCAGGAGGGTGGGGTCCTGCCCCAATGCTCCCTGGGGTTGGACCAGTATGACTCCATCCCCTCCATGACCATGGCCACAAGAAGAGGCCACATGGTAACAGAGAAACCCTCGTGCCAACAGGTGCTCAGAAGACCTTGCTTGGGCCCTGCAGTGCCCAGCTGGCAATGAGGGGGGCTCTGAAGCCCACCTCTGGGCTAGGCTCGGGCTCTGCTGCTCCCTAGAGGAGTCACGAGGCAGCCTGTCAGTCTCCCTGTGCTAGCTTTCCTCTCCACAACGTGGGGTAATAGGACCAACCTCACAGGTCTGCTGTGAGGGCCAAACTAGTTAATAAAGGCAGTATGCCCAGACCCACACCAGTCACAGTGTTAGCTGCGCCTGGCACTGCTCTGTGGGCCTCTCACTGTGATTTGGGCAGATCAGGACCCTCCTTCAGCATAAAGCAGGGAGGGTCCAGACAATGAACTACAACAGGACTTCTTAATCTCTGACACTTTCTAAACATACATATGGCCAGGCCGTACCCTGCCTGGACTCTCTGCCGGGGGTAGGGGTGGGGGCGGACAAAAATCTCTACTCAACAAGCTCCGCAGGTGGTTGTGATGAACAGCCACGTTCAGATGCTATGAATGAGAGGTTCTCTAAGGCAGCCCCACCTCCTGGACTGGGAAATAAACAGTCGCTGTAAGACTCGGTCAGATGTCTAAGTGGCACTTCAGACACTGTGGAGCCCTTTGACGGTGGTCACCCTGCTTGGCCCACAACAGCCCTACGAGGCAGGTGGGCCACGGGTGCCTGCCCCCTCGCTAACAGGGGCTCAGAGCGGCCCGAGCCCGGGGGCAGCAGAACTGGGCCCAGAACTAGTTCCCTAGCAGGTTCAGCTTTGAGGTTCTGCCCCCTCTCAGGTGCGGGCTCCCTGACCTGTTCCTAGACAGGTGCCAGGAGACCAGCTAGGAAGTTTCCAGACAAGGGGACTGCGAGGATCCCTGAGAGGGGACCCTCCAAAGCTCCTAGTACCTGGGCAGCACCTGGAGGCAGGGAGGGGGTGGGGACTTGCTCTGAGACTGAACAGCTCAGAGGTAGCCTTCAGGTTTACTGTCTGGGAATCGAGGCACTCACGTCATACCCAGAGCTTCAGAAAGGGCCCGAGCCAGGTCAGGGCAGGTCAGCAGCAGACGGCAGGTACGTTCTCAGCCCCGGGCTACCTAACCTCCCTCTCAGCCTGGCGCTCTTCATGGTCCTCAGGGTATACTGCCGGGGCCAATGGGTGGGTGGAGAGGACAAGGTCCTCCTTTCCGGCCTGGCATCACTGCCACTGGGACTAGGGAGGCGGTGGAGCATAGTGGTAAGCACCTGGGCTCTGGACTCAGACGGTAGATTTGAACCTCGGCCACATCCCTTATCAGAGAATGTGACCTTGGATGAGTTAGGTAACCTCAGTGCCTAAGTTTCCTCAGTAAAAAAATGGGCAGAGCCCAGCAGGCGTGGCTCAGTGGCTGAGCATTGGCCTGTGAACTAGGAGGTGAAGGTTCGATTCCCAGTCAGGGCACATGCTCAGGTTGCAGGTTTGATCCCCAGTGTGGGGCACGCATGAGGCA